TGAGATAGGCCAAAACCTAGGCCTCTTGTACCAAACAGTTAGCCAAGCTGTGAATACAAAGGAAAAGTTCTTGAAGGAAATTAAAAGTGCTACTCCAGTGGACTCATGAATGATAAGAAAGCAGAACAGCCTTGTGGTTGGTATGGAGAAAATTTGAGTGATCCAGATGGATCAAACAAGCCACAACATACTCTCAAGGCAGAGCCTAACCCAGAGCAAGGCCCTAACTCTCTTCAGTTCTATGAAGGCTGAGAAAGGTGAGGAAGCTGCAGAAGAAAAGTTTGAAGCTAGCGGAGGTTGGTTCTTTAAGTCTAAGAAGCTGCCTCCATAACGTAAAAGGCACAGTGAAGCAGCAATTGCTGATGTAGAAGCTGCAGCAAGTTCTTCAGAAGATCTAACTCAGAGCATTCATGAAGGTGGCAACACTGAACAATAGATTTTCAGTGTGGATGAAACAGCCTTATATTGAAAAGAAGATTCCATCCAGGACTTTCATAGCTAGAGAGAAGTCAATGTCTGGCTTCAAAGCTTCAAAGGACAGGCTGACTCTCTTCGTTAGGGGCTAATGCAGCTGGTGACTTGAAGCTAAAGCCAATGTTCATTTACCATTCCAAAAATCCTAGGGACCTTAAATATTATGCTAAATCTAATTTGCCTGTTCTCTATAAATGATACAAAGCCTGGATGAAAGCACATCTGTTTACATCATTTATTGAATATTTTAAGCCCATTGTTGAGAACTGCTTCTCAGAAAAAAAGATTCCTTTGAAAATACTACTGCTCATTGACAATGCACCTGGTCACCCAAGAGCTTGGATGGAGATGTGCAACAAGATTAATGTTATATTCATGCCTGCTAACACAATATCCATTTTGTAGCCCATGGATTAAGGAGTACTTTCAACTGTCAAGTCTCATTGAAGAAATACATTTCATAAGGCTGGAGTTGCCATCAATTTTGATTCCTCTGTTGAGTCTGGGCAAATCAATTGAAAAACTTCTGGAAAAGATTTACTGTTTCAGATGCCATAAGAACATTTGTGACTCATGCAAAGAGGTCAAAATATCAACATTAACAGGGGTTTGGGAGAAGTTTATTCCAACTCTTATAGATGACTTTGAGGGGTTCAAAATTTCAGCTGAGAGATGTGGTGTTAAATGGCAAGCGATTTAGAATTAGAAATGAAGATGTGTCTGAATTGCTATCTCATGATAGAACTTTAACAAATGAGGAGTTACTTCTTATGGATGAGCAAAGAAAGCGGTTTCTTGAGATGGAAATTACTCTTGTTGAAGATTCTGTAAAGATCTGTAAATGACAACAAAGGATTTAGAATATTATATAAACTTAGTTGGTAAAGTAGTGCAGAGTCTGAGAAGATTGGTTCCAATTCTGAAAGAAGTTCTATTGTGGGTAAATAACATTCAAACAGCATTACAAGCTACAGAGAAATTGATCATGAAAGAATAATTCAATGCGGCAAGCTTGTTATATTTTACGAAATTGTCAAAGCCACCCCAAACTTCAACAACCAATACCTTGATCAGTCAGCAGCCATTAACACTGAGGTAAGACCCTCCACCAGCAAAAAGATTGTAACTTAATGAAGACTCAGATGATGGCTAGAAATTTTTAGCAATACAGTATTTTAAAATTGGTGTTTTGGAGACATGATGCTATTGCACACTTAATCGACTACAGAATTGTGTAAACATAACTTTTATATATGCACTGGGAAAAAAATTTTGTATGGCTCACTTTATTGCTTTATTGCAATGGTCTGGAACAGTATTTGCAGTATTTCCAAGGTATGCCTGTATGTCTTTTATCTAATATAGAGATGTACATATATATACATCTGACTACATACTCTTACACCATATGAAGGACTGCGCTAATGCATGGAAATGTAGACATGTAATACCAATAAAAAAAGGATGTGACCTTTGCACTGACTTATGGAATAATTCTGAGAACCTTTGACATCTCCATGTAATGTTTTTTCCCTTTCTTATGGCAATAAATGGAGTTAATAACTATGACCATTGTTCTTAATGAAGTTATACTAGGAGTTTGCATATCTTTCCCAGGAGAATTGTCAAGGGAACAGATATTAATGCCTGCATATTTCCTGGTTAAGAGTGCTTGATTTTTTTCTATTAAAGGCAGAGAGAAATTTGCCTCTTGGTATCCTTAATGAAGAACAAGAATGATTTCAAGTGGCAAATATTTACACCAGAATTTTGAAAGATTCAGGTTAAGGAAAAAAACAAAACCAAAACACTACCCTGATTGTACCATGAATCTTGGCTATGGGTCAATGGAAAATCTGTGTACCTGCCACCAACACTAAGACCCTCCTCTCTCTGGGGCCTGGGAATTGGGGGAAAAAAAAAACCCCCAAAACCCCACCAATAGCAGAGAATTTGAAGTAAAATGGTATGTGTGAATTTGTCATTGTCTTAGATGGGGAATTGAGGGAAAATAACAAACTCTTGCTATGTCTATATCTTGGTGTTCTAAAGCATCATGCTAATAATAATTAAAATAACTTTAATCAAAAGAATAAGGGAAGACCTAGGTCAGAGTGGAGTTATTCTCAGTTATGACAGGCTCTAAGTCCTAGGTTTACATGGATTATAACTAGACTATATGAAAAAATAGACATTTTAAATGAGCTCAAAGTTGTAATTTTGGGGTCTCTTTATTTCTGATGGTCATTCAAATGCATATATTAAAAAATTATAATTGTACCATACAAATATTTTAAAATATCAGTTTTCCAGATTACGAAAGTAATGCATACTCAAAATGCCTTTTCTTTTCCCTTATTGCCAATGACGTGCTAAGTGTAGTTCTAAAGTCCTAGAAAGAATACAAATTCTTATTATTTTTAAAGTCTGATAGAAATCACATCATTTAAAAAAATCTGTACAAGCTAATGAAAATATTGCTTCTTTGATTTTAGCTGGCATCATATTAAGTTCGTGGTATGATGCTAATGATCACTCTAGATATTGACATCTTTTTTTTGTTTTTAATATGCCTCTGATTAATAGAAATGTCACTATATAATGAGAGCAATATATGACATGTACAGCCATTCAAAACATAGTCCATGGAGAGAAAATATTAAAAGGGTTTCCTGGTAATGAAAATGTTGTAACTACCCTAAAACACTTCAGTCCCTACTATCACACACTCCCTTCATCACTCTGCCTTCATGGTCTGTGAAGAACTTCCATGTTCCAAATGTCCCACGGTTCAAGATTAACCAAAGTAACCACTATCAACTCCATAGGACAGATCTCTCATGGGAATTAGTAGTTGCTCCACATTATCTAGGATGCAGTTTCATCAGAACAAGAATCAATCAACTGTAAGAAAATCCTACTTTCCTACAAAAGATATCAGTACTTGTAAATTAAAGACCAATCTTACTGCTCAAAGATCATTCCCAAAGTGGCAAACACTGTATCTAGGCCTGAGATGCTTGGTAAGACCTGTAAGTTGGTATTTTCAACTAACTAACTTCCCCAACTTGAAAAATCAGGGGACTTATCATGGTTTTGCAGAGGTCCTTTTGTGGGGTTGGCCTTCCCTGTCTCATCAATAGAAGAATCACCCTGTGTGAGTGTTCACCTGCCAATACGCATAATTACAAGTAGAGAACATGTGAAAACTCCCTTTGAGCAACCTCATCAGTTAGTAGCAAATCCAATAAATTTCAGTCCATTTGTCACCATAAAAGCCAACTTCAAGAGCCTTTTAAGCTAGATAGCTTTCAAAGTTTGCAATTTCCTTGAGACTACACGTAAAACATTTATGTATGACACAAATAAAACTCACTTTTGGTCAGATTCTCAAAAGGAGATAACCACTAGGTCAACATGAGAAAACTTGTCTGCAGTACAGTACTTTTCACATATTTCTTACATGTGCTGGACATTGATAAATGAAAATCTTCAGCATTGTTATTTGGAATTTCTAGACTTCTAATCAGATCAAGTATCCCTTTGCAAACCACACCTAAGTCCCATCACCCTGATTATGCTATGCCTCCCCAAATGGTGGTACTCGTCTCAAAATGAGTAGACAGAAGAGTAAAGCCAGGAATTAAAACTGCCACTTAAAGTGAACATAACCTTCAGAATGCTCAGCATTACTCTGTAATCTGCAGAACACCCTTATATTCTTTCCTGTAGTTCATAAAACGCAGTGGTGGGGATGTCAAAGTTTAACTTTTTGCTACACAACCCAAACTCACTGAAATCCCACACCTATTTCAGGACAGAAAAAAACCCAACCAATGCTAAATAGCCCATATTGTATGGTAATACATTTTTGAACGATTCTACAGAGTTGTACTGCTTCTGCTCAAAAAATTTGAGACCACAGTCAATGGCAATTCTAGTAGGTTGGAAGTTTTAGGTAATTTTACAAAACATTTCCTGACATTGCTTATCCCTAGAATAAATTCAGATGGTAGAAAAAACACACTCATCTCCTATAACTATAAACTGCATTTAAAATGGAATTATGTAATTGCAGTATCCTTGAATCACCTAATCCTATGGTTGGCTTCAAATCTTGCCAATGCACAGCAATTAATTTCTCAGGTTTCTTTGCATTGAAATTTATTCAGATTAACGAAGTGTCTAGTCTGTCACCATTATGAAAAAGCATGGAAGACAAAGGAATAAAAGCTCTGCTTATTAGTATTAGTATCCCCGTAAACATCTTAACACTTAACCCCTAATCTTGTAAACGGAGCTTTAAGACTACAGATTATAGTTAATTTTGTTAATGTTAACATTAACATCAGCAAAACTGCTAATGAAGTGACACACAGAACTTGGACAAAACAGGTCAGGGAGTGTATTTGAGAATATACAGGCTAGTCGAGTACGTTTGTCCTAAGTGCTTCAGTTTTTCTAAAAGATCTCAGACAGTAATATCCAGATGTAGTGTTTCTTCAAAGTCATATATCAAGACTTGATTGAAGAGTTTGGATTTTGTTTAAAAAGCCTTTATTCATTTTTGACCAGGGAAAGGACAATCTCAATGTCAACTTGCCACCTAATCATAAATTTGAACTTACAGGATTCACTGCCCTAAGACACTGCACCTACTGACTTTGACAACACAACTTGAAATCTCCTTTCTGTTCCCTAAGGTTGGCATGTTGAAAGAATGAACAATCGCTTGTAATAGCCAACATTGGTACTTGGCCTAGGTGTAGGGTCAAAGAGCAAAACAGGAGCAAAACAAGGCCAAAAGCACTGTAACTTGATAGCCCAGCAAGTACAAACATTGGAACAAAGGAAGTTGCAGGCACCAAATAAAACAACAAAAAAAAGGCAGGTTCATTAACATAAAAAATTTACACTTGGTTGAAGGTGAGGTCAACTATTCCACATGTGAACATGTATGCCAGTCTAGTGGCTAACACAGAACCACAGAAATAAAACGAAAACCTTAAATTCATTAACTACACTGAATGTAAAATCCAAAGCTTGAATTTACCAAGGATTTCCTCCAAAATCTAGAGCTAACACCACTCTTTCTAATGCACTAGAAGATGTGCTGTAATGACTTGGTCACACCTAGGTTTTCACTTACATAAGGTTTAAAGTATACCTTTCCCCACTATTCCTTCCTATGTCTGAATATGGGTAACTACTCAGCTCATGCACTAACTGCACTAAAAATGATGAAACCTACTATCGTGACGTCTATAAACTTACACCACGTAACAGTTAACATCCAATATAGCTTCCTAACAATGCCCCAAGAGAAAACATTTTGTTCAGTTTGGTGCTTGCTGTGACATAATACCAACAGAATAGTATACAATTTAATTTACTCAGCCACTACTTCAAATATTTTAACCTAATCTTTGCTCAAACTTTAATAATCGTATACCTATTTGCCAAACCCTTTGTTAAATGTAACTACATCTGATGTTCTTAAACTGTAGCTCCTATCACAGTTTAAGTGCTTTTCCCTGTGTATATCTGGACATTTTAATCAAGAAAACAAAAGTTAAGTATTATGAATTAGTCAAAGCACTTTCTAGCAGACCACTGATTAGAATATAGCAAACCCTAACAAATGACCTTCCAGAGACAAGAACAAATCAAAATCTTTCTATTCATAAAAAGGAGTTACCAGCATGCTCTGTGCCATCAGAAAATTACTTTTCAAAATACAACCAAGATTCATGGTCTACTAGAAAGTTTCCACTAATCACAACACTATGTCATGAAGATTTTCATGACAAAGTCTCCAGATATACAGAGGAAACATTACTTAAAGGTATGGTGGAAGCCTCAGGTAACAGAAAAATGAAGCCTTAGAGCTTAGAATACATCTAACAAAAAAGGGGAACAGAGTAAACACCGTAGCTGGCTATTTATAAAAGACCAGTTTCTCCCTATGGATCAATACTCTCTACAAAATAAACTGTGCCTTAATTATTGCTTATTTAAAATTACACTTTTACAGAGCTATTTAGTACCTGACGCAGAAAAACAATCACATAAGGAAGCATTTATTTGAGGTTTAACACGAAACCATACAAATAAAATTTGTATAAACACAAATCCACATCGAGTCATAACACAGATAGCAAAAGACAAAGTAAAAACAAAGAAAACTAATTGGCGGCTATATACAGTTGGACACAGTTGTGTCTTGTACACTAGAAAGTCTTTTACAAAATTATCATCTTAGATCAACAGGAGACCAATCTTCAGTGTCGTCCTGCAAGACGGGTTACTTTAGCAATCTCCTCCTAAAAACAAAAACAAAACGGCAATTAGATTTGTGCAACTCTGACAAGCTTTCAAAGGTCCACTTTCATGAATTGTTTTAAGTTCTCACTTTATTCTTTTCTTCAATAATTAAAGATCACATGCAAATTCATTGGCAAAGTGCAGTTTCAGTAATTAATAAATTCACCCTCAAGTTCCCAAATGATTTTAAATTTACTTAGAAAATCTGGGAACATAACCTTCCCATATTCACAGGTTGAACTGTGCTAGAGCAAGGTCTACTAGAAACATCTCTAGTAAGCCATGAAGAATGCTATTTATCACAAACATGAATTTCTAATGGGTTTGTATTGCAAGAAAACAAATTGCTATGTGCATATGATCTTTAATTTATATCCCAGATTTTAAAGTTCTTGTTTTGGTTTGTAGATTTCACTATTAGCTATAAAAAGAAAAAGCAAGCATTAAATCTTAAAGAATGAACACTTAAAATGAGGCTCCACAATTGAAATACAACACTAAACAGAAGACCAAAATGATTAAGCTGTAAAAAGGCATTTATGTACTTTAACTCCTGTAAAAAACCATTTAAGTTAAGACACTTAATCTTCAAAAAGATTAAAAAAGAAGCCAAAGTCTGAAGTTTTCCACTTTAATCTTTACGCTGGTACATGAAGTTGGAAGAGACCATACCACAGGACAGCGTTTTCTGGTGTATGCCTTGCGCTCTGCCCGCAACGTGCGACCCCCAGAGATAGACGTGGTCAGGGTGACACACGGCCTGCAATGAAGTTCCCGCTGGCGGGTACAAACAAGGTATAATGTCAGAGTTAGAAGACAACATTCTTGTTTTCCTTAAGTTGTACCCATTTCAGTACTTTACCTGTTAATAGTTCTAAAAAAGTTTAATTATTCCTCTAGACCACCTGGTACACAAAGCAAACAGAAAAACTCTTAAGTTTTTCTGTAATACTAAAGAAAGTGAGATAAGACTTTAAAGTTAAAGATCTATAGACACTTTAGGCAAAACAGGCTCATTTTAAAGCAAGTAAAAAATTAACAATTTAGTAAAAACAGGCTACATGATATTTTGTTTTTACATATTTTTCATTTGTCTATTGATCTTTAAATTAAATTAGACATGTCCACTGGTTTCTTGTACTCTTATACACACCTGTTTTCTCCAATGTTCTCCTTTAGTATGGCTGGTAGTTGTTTTGGTGATTGCCACCCCCTCGAGATGCCTTGCCATAAGTGCTCTGTTGGCCTATTTTGAACAGACAAAAACAATTTTTTTTAGTTTTCTATGAAATGGTTTCATTATATATTCAAAAACTACTTGAAATACACCAAGTTCTGCATGCCAAATATTAAAATCAGGTATTTTAAGTGATCATAAACTAATCACGCCATACACTTCTAAAACACTTCTAATGACCAATACCTCTATATTAGCATAATCCCAACTGTTAAATGCCTCCAAAAATAAATTAGCTCCAAACGCTTCAATAGAAAACCCATATACACAATTTAACACTGAATTTTAATACCATTGGTTTATGAAGTTAAGTTAAATATTCTTACCACTGTAGTCTGCATATCCCTGTCCATATCCATAGTTCCCATAGTTATACCCAGTATAATCATAGCCGCCATAGCCACTATAGTTTTGATCACCACCATAGGCACTATTGTAATTTCCATATCCTTGATCATAATAGTTATTAAATCCTTGGTTCCAGTTTTGGCCCTGACCTGAAACAATGCACAGTGATTGTTAGGAAACAACTTCTGACCCCTGATCCTAACATAAAATGTGTTCCTGTCCCTCACTCTGCAAATCTTAAAAAAAAAGTAGAATGGACATCTATACTGCTATCTGACAAAGAAAACATTATTCCAGTTGTCATAAGGGGGCAGAAAATCCAATTGTGCTAGTATCAGGCTTCCTAAATTTAATAATCCGGATGAATGTGAAGACAGGTAGACTGTTTACAATTACATTTAATGGTACTATTTTCCCACCAGCAATGACAGTCAGAATGACCATTCTCTGAAGAGGTGAAACCAATAAACTCAGTAAAAACAAAAACCCACCCACCAAGCTGGGCATTTTCCATGTTGGGACAGTTAAAATTTGGCTTTTCTTCCTGATGGGCTTATTCACATTTAGCAGTGTATAGCTTTAATCACTGAGTCAAATTCCTAGGAATGAAGTCTCACCTCGTCCACGACCCCTAGTACCACCTCGTCCACCAGCTGCAGCACCTCTACCTCCTTTTTGTTGTTGCTGTTGCTGCCTATATACCTCTTTGGGCTGAGCAACTTTAATTTCACACTATAAACAAAATTTAAAAACAAATAGAACTGTTACTGAAGGTCTAATGTCAAGCCATTTGTTTTTCTTCTCAAAAACATTTGGAGAAATTTCACTTAAATTTAAAAAAAAACCCTCCCATTTTCCACTTAATTAAAAGGCTTTACCTTCCCAGAACCAATCTGATGGTATCTGCTTTCTAACAATTTCTTTACTGGCTCTTCATCTGTGTACGTAATAAAACAAAATCCTCTTCTTTCATTTGTTTTTGTATCCATGGGAAGTTCAATATTTTCAATCTGAAATCAAGACGCATACTCAAGATCATCCAGTAATGGTAAAAACCCAACAGATTTTACAATGCCACAAGTCCTTTTCAACCTTCAACATGACACGTTATTTTAATGAGATAACTTCCATACAAACTACCGCTTTACTAGAAATGATTTGTTTATAGAGCATTTAGAGAGACGGGAGAGCAAAACCTCCCTTATTTAATACCGTTTCTTGACTCAACAGATGCCACTGGTTAATAAATCCAAACCCTGACCACACCAAAGCATCCACCTTTTTGCCAAAATAAACTACATATTACTTTCCAGAGAAAGCAGTGATTAAGGCACAGTGACTAGAAGGGACTTAAGCAATAATTTATTCCCATTCTCACCCAACACGAGTTTGTTCTGTAAGAACTGGACCAGGGATTAACATTACATAAACATACCCAATGAAAATACACGTGAACATAAAACATAGCGCACCTCTCCAAAGGCTCCAAAATATTCTTTAATTTGTTCTTCAGAAGTATCTGGGCTCAGTCCACCCACAAAAACCTTTTTTGGGGGTTCCTTCCCTTTTAAAGCTTTGGCTCTTTTAGGGTCTATCAATTTGCCATCCAGTTTGTGTTCTTTCAGTTCCAAAACCTATAAAACAGATTTATTTAATCTGACAACATACGACCAACGCTCTCAACAATTTGCAAAAAGCAGCACAATGCAAAACATGTTCGTACCTTATCAACACTAGCAGCATCTTTGAAAAGCACAAATCCAAATCCTCTTGATCTTCCAGTGACAGGATCTGTTTTAATTGTGCAGTCTACAACTTCCCCAAATCGAGACAAATACTCAGTCAGATCTTTCTTGCTTGTATCCCAGCTCAAGCCTCCAATAAACATTTTACTAAAAATAATTTTTTAAAAGAAGGTTAGAAATAGCTTAAACGGGTTACTTAAGTTCTGAAATTAACAATGTTTACAAAATAAACTATCAGTACGGGGAAATTTATCCCCACGTACAAGTAATTTAACCCACTTACAGATACGCACTAATAAACCACAAAAATACCCAAATTTCACCAAGGTCACTTATTCAAAACGGTGGACAGCTTGCTCTCCACACTGCATAGTGCAAAGTTTAAAAGAGGCCAACAAAACGTTAATTGTTCTGGACTACAAAATCCAACTTTCTGAACCGATGCCACACAACTCAGGTTCACGTCTTCCTCAGCTGTCAAGCCAACGTTCCATCTAAAGAACTCATCACATCACCTATTAGAAACCTGGGTACCAGTAGCCTACTGTGTCGCAAACCAAGAGTTCCCTAAACTCTCCCCAAGAAAACCGCGCGGAGTCCCAACAGATACAATGAAGAGGCGGCGGCAGCTGCAGCATGTGGCGCAGCGAAGCCGGCCCCTCCCCCTCAGGCCCCACGCGGCGCCTGCGCACTCGGGACCCGGACGCCGCCGCCCTCCTCCTCCTCCAAACCCCTACCCTTCCCCCACCTTCCGCGGGCCTCCCGAGTCACCTCCTCCATCTCCTACTTCCCTCTTCTCTCCAACCTAGTAGGGCCCAGAGGGCACGCGGGGAATCCTCTCGGGGCAAGAATGGGGGCAGCGCGCGGCTCCCGAGGGACGCAGGGCGCGTGCGGCGCGCTGGAGGAGAGAGGAAAAGGGGAGAGAAGAGAAGCGTGCGGTACCCGTCATCCTGCTGATTCTTGCTCGCGTTGATCTTGGACCCCTCTGCGAATTCCTCTATGTTGCTGTATTCGTTCATGTCCTCCATGGCGGCGGCGTTGTCGGCCGGGGGATGCTGGCGCGCAGTTCGAGTCGCGGCAGCAGCGGCGGCGGAGCGTTGTATGGAGCTGGATTTAAAATGGCGGCGGAAGAGATCCGGGCGCCGCCTGCGCCCTCCCTTTATAGCCGCCCCGCCCG